TATTATCATGCCACGAAACATAGTTTCCCATACAAAAAACACCTACATTCGTTATGAACTTGACTACATCTTATAATCTTCTTGTTCATTTGTTTGTGTTCTAATGCACAGCTGTTCCATACTTAAACTTGCTTCAAATTTGGTGATGTAAAATTTTAAAATGTTGCAGGTCAGCAGTAGAGCTGGTCAGAGGAAAAGCTAGAAATCCAGTAGCATGATTTTTAAATAATCTGTCCTTGTTTTTTGATGTTAAACAGTAAAAGCCAGTAGTGACCAAGAACACAGTGATTACACAATGTACTGGAGGGATTTTGTTTTGGATTCATCTTTATGAAGATTTAGACTTCATTCCTTGTGTTTAAAGGGGATGTTTATTTGAGAAATAAACATTTGTGTATAAAATACTAATTTGTGTGTGGTTTTTGGACAGAGGGATGTGTAAATCATCAAGTCTCTTTGGATTGTTAGCCTTTGTTCGTGTAAAAAAAAAAAAAAAAAAAAAGGTGGCATAATACATTTTAACCCTCTCTTTGTCATCAGCTTTTTGAATAAATAAGAAAAAGCTACAAACTAGTTAATGTGTGTATCTTTATCACGATGTAATGCAACTGAATGCTCACTAGTCATCAGTCGTCACTTGATTTCTATGGAAACAGGTTTTTTTTAGATGCTGCTCCCTAGCAGAATGTTTCATTTAAAATTTCCTGGCTGTGAAAATTGAGGTGTCATTGTTTAAAACAGCCCTATACTAAGTTATCTAGGTAAAAACGTGTTCTGTTGAAAATTGTAATTGAACAGTCTGTTCTGTAGCCTTTGACTAGCTGCATAAGCAAGCAGTAATTTGCAGATATAATTTAAAGTCCCTGAAATAGTCACTTGTATCTCTGTTGAGAGCACAGCATAGAAAATAGGGTAGATGAGCACCTTATAGACTCACCAAAGTGTGTAGGTGCATGTGCGCATTTGTAGCACAAACTTCTGTGGACTGAAGCTTACTTTGTCAGGTGCTGTGAGAATGTAAACAAAGCTGTGTGGAAGGAGAGAGAAATGTGCATACAAAAGCAGGAGGGAGATGGAGTTGGGGGGCGGAGGGGTAGTGCTGGGAGGAGGAAACCCCTTGAAACAAGGGTGTCACAAAACCTAATCCAGGTAATGGGATCAGAATCTAGAGTCCCTGTTTAAACCATACTTAACACAATCCAGTTTGTGGATAATTTCTTGTTCCACAGTTTCCATTTCAAATAGGTTTTTAATGGTTTGCTGCCTGAGAACAGCCACCCTCAGGTCAGTGATGGAATATCCAGGGAGGATAAAGTGTTCTGCTACAGGCCTTTGTATCTTTCTGCAGCTGATGTCAGATCAGTGTTCATTCATTCTGCGATGTAGGGATTGCCCTGTCTGTCCAATGTAGACAGCAGAGGGGCAATGTAACCAGGTGATGGCATATATGGCATTGGTAGAAGTACAAGTGAATGAACCTTGGATGCTCATAATTGGGGACCTACCTAACTCACAGCAAGGGAAAGCAATTTTTGCAGCTTGGTCATGGCCTGAAGAACAGATTTTGTGGTCATTGTGGTGGACCCACCCCTCAGCCCTGATTGGCAGAGATGGCCCAGGGGGAGGAGGGGTGAGGGAAGAGGTCACCATCTTGACTGCTGGCTGCCCTTTGTGCCCCCCCCACCAGCCAGTGCCTTCTCTTCCAAGGTGGGCTGCAAGGCCAGATCATGGTGGCAGTTGAGGACCACTGGGGAGCCAGCATTTTATTAAGGGTGTTTTTTGTTTGTTTGTTAGTTTTTTGGTTGATTTCCTGGGAAACTGGCCAATGTCATTTTTCATGGTGATCACAGAGGTGGCCATTTTTTAGTTTCTTCAAAAACTGCAAGGCTGCAATTTAAGTAGGCCAATATTTATAATCTCTGTTATTCGATCCAGTGATGATATGGTCTGTGTTGATCTTGGATCCACTGCAAGGCCTGGCACCTCAGTGAGACTGGAAGGTAGGTAGCATGGTGCTTCAGATATACCATTTAAGTTTGGGGGTAATGACCACTGTGCCTCAGATGAAGTAGCTGTAGGATGTGTTGAGCAAACAGACACAACTGGAATGCCCGTCTTCTTTGAGCTCCCACTGTAGGCGAAGAGAAATAGTTTTTTTTTTTTTAAACTCCCCCACAATATACATACCCTAGTAACCAAGAAAAAAGGAAGAGAGACAACATTGTCAAATGGAAAATGACATAAAATGTCGTGTGATGTCACCATTTGACCTAGGAAAAAATGAAATACAGAAGTTAAGAAGGTGGATTGTGGTTCAAACAAAAAAGATGTATTGTGGTTGCCCGAGATGTATTGGTATATTGTGTATTGTGGTTCAAACAGAAAACAAGGCTCACTTTTCTGACGTCAGTTTAACTGAACCACTATAGTTATGTTATGATAGACTAGAAAAGACAATGTCAGTACCTGGAATTATTTGGCAGAAAATCGAAACACACTTCACTGAGTCTTCATGAATTCCTGCCTTACCTCTTCATAAACCATTTTAATGAATACAAATGTTCTTTTAGGAGCAAAATCCAGCTTCCTCTCCTAAAAAGGAGGAAAAGGGGAGAGATCCTTCAGTAACTAAAAATTAAGCACTTGTATTGTGCTCTTCTAGTATTACATTTTTACTGTCTAGCTGATAAATGTGAAAGGAAACTCTTTCACCAAAAAGGGTTGAAACCAATTACTGATCGATAAGGAACCTCTTAAATTTTTTAATTAACACCACCAAAAGATAATGCCTCCCAGAAGAAAGATAAGTAATGGAATATCATAAAATACTCCTTGTGTAAAGGATTCTACAAGGACAAAATTAAGGCTGTTGTACATCATTTCCAAACACCGGAGCAAAGTTTTTGGGCAAGATGTCTGCCTATGTCCCTTAACAGAAATATTAGTCTTTTTTGAGGCATTAATTTTACTACTTCAGTTGCACACAGATAACACTGCTGCTTCCCAATTAAGTTCATGGTTGAATGTTGCATACGTGCTGGGAAAAAGGCCCAATTGCCTTTTTTTTCAAGCACAAAAAGTGAAATACTGGCATTCTAGCCATTTGTGGTAGGGAAAAAGCTAGTAATTTTGCCAGAAGCTGTTTGCTTTTCAAGTAGCGACCTTGTGTTTTTTTCCTGCTGTGTGTAATGCCTGTCCAGTTACAGATGTTGCAGTGGACATCTCTAGAACACCAGGGGAGGAAAAAAGGTGGGTGGTTCCCTCATAGCCTGCCCACTGATGACCTACCTATGAGAGACCTGCAGGACCTATGCTTGATCCTTCTCCAGTTTCCCCCTGGACTGTTCAAACACTGGTGCTAATTCCTCCTGCCCTCTGAACAGCACTGGGGATCCCCAGTATTGTTAAAAAAAGATGGGGGGGGGGGTGT